TGATTGTGTATTGAGCAATCTTACAACGACCAAATAACTGGAAATATTCCAGGTTTTGTAAATATGATATCGTTTTTAGACTTTTACTGCAGATTTTTCATTTTTAATTTCGATGGCAAAATAAAAAAAATAAAACTATAACTTTTAATAAGTGTCAAATGTGTCTAGCCCTGTTGTGCTAACTGGGGACACTAATAAAAAAAAAAATATTGTAAATAGAACTGTTAGGAGGCTGACCAGTTGGTTATTCACACAACGCGGTCGAGGAGTTGAACTCGGGACTACCGAGAACAGATAGCGGCAGGGTGGAGGATTTGAACCAGGGACCTCCAGATTTCAAATCCAACGCCCTAACCGTGGCTACAGTTTGATATGAACTCAAACATGCACTGCGAGACGAAACAATCCCCAAGAAAGACCCTAAATATTTGAACTTGACAATGAATATCGAAGTTCTGAATTTTCACGATAGCAAAAATAAACCACCCCCAAAATTCTACCTGTTACGTTATGTTTAACTTAAGCTCATGCTCGCCATGCCAATGTATAATACACGTGCGAGCCACAGACATCTCCAAGTCCAAATACGACTAATAATCCACATCTTAAGTTTTGTTTTATCTTTTCTGAGCAAAGACGAGCAGTTTTAAAGCTGCTTGAAGAAAGTTATTGTATTTCGTCATTGTAAAATTACGATCTAATCATCTTTCCTAGACTTTAGACGGCGCATTTCTTGAAAATCTCGTTGTAAAATAATAACGGTTACATCCTTTCCCCGCCAAAATGATACTGGTATCACGGGCACCTTCGGCCGTATATCCTGTGTTCGAGCTAGAATCTAAAGGAGCAGCAAAACATGGTGGACTGCGTGGGGTCCGTGGAGTGCACTGAGTGTGTTTCTTTTTTGTAAAAAAAGTGATTTCCGAAGTAAATTTTAAACAGGATAAATATTTATTATTACGTTGTTTACTCTTCATTATTGTTAGCGTGTTGAGAATTTTACTTGCGCAAACAGGAACTTTTTATCTTAGTAATATTGATTTTATTATTATTGTTATCTATATTCATGCCATTATTATTAACATTAATATTAATATCGATATTAATATTAATATCAGTATTGATATTATTATATTAATATTAATATCAATATTAATATTAATTCTAAGGTCAATATTAATATATCATCATTATTATTATTATTATTATCATCCACATTCATATGATTATTATTAATATTAATGTTATCATTATTGTTGCTGTTATTAATATTATTAAAAATTATAGATGCAATCAGGGTATCCTCCATAACTATCACAACTAAAGTCATAAAAGAAAGGAAACAAGCAATAACCAGAAAGTTTGTTCTTGCCACAGCATCGATCGTGCTCGTAACAACCTTGGTGGAAACAGCAGTCATCACAAACTACACTCCAGCACCAACACATTGGCCCGCACATCCCCAAGCACCTGTCTCTATTGGGATCTCTCCTCATGTCTTGACAACTATTTCTCTTCCTGCCAAAGAGTCTTAGATATCTGTGATAATCATGGTCAGCGGTTTCTGTGTCTTGAGCAGGCGTATTTTCACTATCTTCCCGCAGAAGGCTCATGGACATTACATAGAAGGCTTTAGTTATAGGGTGGTCTCCCACTTCCTCGTGCAATGCGTGCGACACGCGATCTAAAAGACGCACTTCGTGTTTGCTTCGAAGTTTCTCCATAGCCCACTGATAAGAAGAAGGGGAACTTTGCTCGTTCTCACCCGTCAAGCCAGTGCCAGCTTTAAGAATTGGCTCGTCAACCCAAGTATTTGTCTCCTCGCCGACTGGGCTAAGGAACAACGGTTCTGCATCAGGGTGAGGCCTACCAACGATAATTAAAGAAACTTATTTTTCATACCCCAAACCCTGGCACGTGTTGGGCAAATTAGCTGAAAACAGCATGTTATCATCACTAATTAAAGAACATCGTATAAAGAATATGGAAACCAGTGAGTTCTGCCTAGCTTTACTGGTGTGTTTTTAACTATAGCTTAGTCCTCGTTTTTTGTCAAGTGGGTGCATGAACATCGGTTGGCCAAATTCAAAATAGATCTGCTCCTTGAATGGTCTGGACATGAGTTTTCTGGCCAATCATCAAGTGCACGTTTCTCAAGTTTTATCAGCGGTCAGTAGTGGAATTATTAAAGATTCAAGCTTGAATTTAAACTTAGCTGGCAAGAGATTTTGATATCCTTTTCAATCCTAGGGATCCAAGAAACTGTATGGCTCTTGGGCTGAAAGAACTTTAAGAGAGTACTTCCAAAAAAGCTGGGTGGGGGTGTGCGGCCTTCTAAAACCCTTACCCTATTTATGACTAAAATCTGCTTTTTTTGCTACCCTATTTGTGACCTGTCCAAAAATTCGATAGCCTATTTCTGACTGTTGCGGCCGACACAGTTGCCCCAAACATAAGTTATGAAGGGTTTTTGTTGACGGTTTTATCGATAGAGATGAAAAGGTAGCTTCTTCTAAGAAACATACCCAATTCAAGACTAGAGTGCTAAAACCATACCCTATTTATGACCAAAATTGCCAAAATCGATTCCCTATTTATGACCAAAACGGCTGAAAAACCTTACCCGTTGGGGCCGCACATACCTATATAGCCCATATAAGTGAATACCCCCCCCCCCCCCCACGGGCGCCTGCCCAAGAACGCAACATCACGACCTTCGTCATTCCTGAGACCTAGCTCTTTCGATACCTCATCAACGTAGACCACAGTGCACCCCAGCTTTTAAAATTCGGGTGAAAATAATTTTTATAGCATTCATGGCTCGTGCGGGCTGTCTTTTCGACGAGCACGTGACATTGTACTATCAAACTTTGGCGTTAAAATAGTTTTTCAGCACTTGTTTTGTTCGCTGAAGTTACAGCAGGTACAAAAACTGTTAGAATCAGCAGGTCCTACCTCAAACTACCAGGTGAATAATTAACCTAATCTAACGCGACAATCACAATGTACTTGTTAGACAGTAGAATACGTAATGAAGCTAAAGGACATAAAGAAACTTATGTCTGGGCAACAAGAAAGATATCACTACCCACCACAAGAAATTATTGCCCAGCACTTGAGCATGAAATCTTTGAAGCGTCAGTTTTTTATACCGCGCCAGGACGTTGTTGTTCTTGTCTGTCAGTTGCAGAAATCCTGGTTGAATCTCGAAGCACAAAGAAAGACTTTCGTTATGACAATAACAGCCCTTCACCAAGCTTGTCGAGCGATTTTCAACCTTGAGAGATTCGGAGGAGCCGCATCCTTTGGTGACAACAAACAGAGCACCGAAAAGAAAAACTTGTCGTAGAAAATTTGACAAAGCCATCCTTCACAATCGTTTAAAAAACGAACTGTTTGAAGAGGAATTTAAAGACACATGTTTTTATTGAGTCTTGCAGGTGTCGAACTAAAGGAAACAAACCAATTGGATAAGCAGGATTTACGGTTTGAACCAATTCTTGATTTGTTAGTTGAATTATCTGCAACTTCCGTTTTCTTCCGTCAGGCGGTTTAACTCTCGAACCGCGATTTCGATTTATTAGCGATCCTACTGAATATATCATAAACAATTAAGCTTCGATCTGACCCCTTCGAAGTTTTCTTTTATTCGAATTGTCAGGGTTTGGTTTCCATAATCATGGAAAGAACAAAAGACTGCATTATTTAGCGTCTTCCAGACTCCGATACTGTTTTATAGCGAGAACGAAAAAATGAACGTCTTAACAAAAAAGAAACTGAACACAGAAGCGTTTTTGTTACAAACAGTACTTTCTGTCAGCGTACGTTTATTTTTCTCATTCGTAGTCAGTATTTTTTCCACGAAATGATAATTATATCTGTAAATTGTGACCCTATATAGACGACGAGAAGAACGCTTCATGTTGAAAAATGACAGGAAAATTGCAAGGATTGAATAAAGATTAGCCACGAACATTTCGAAAGCGCATGGTGCATGCTCATCGAAATTTCGTAGTCACTGCCGTAAAAGAGAACTTGAACTGCTCAATGCAGACTATGACTGAACTATGGACTTATCTGATACGGATTTTGTGTTAATTTTAGAAGCGATTTTAATATCGGGCGACCGAGTCAGTGAAGTGTAGAATCATGGTTTATTTGATAACACAAAGGTATGTAAGACCTGATCGAACCTTTAGTGATGCCTCGAAATCAATTTGTCAAATTCCCTTTCAAAGGAATCTCTCGAACGTGAGCAAAGCTCCATTGATATCGAGCTTTGCTTGATCAATACAATTTGCTTTAATTGGTAGGTAAAGGTAAAGTCTACATACCAGCTAAGTGGCCCATCAAGCCATAGCTTATCCCGGTTTCTGTAGCATGAAGCGACTAGGAATATTTCTGGCCCCCCATTAACGGAATGCCAGTCCATCGCAGGGTTACCTCCAGCATTAAGCCGGCATCCATTTATACACTTGGGTGAAGAGAGGCACTGTGAGAGTTAAGTGTCTTGCCCAAGAACACGACGCAATGTCCCCGGCCAGGGCTCGAATCCGGCTTCTCGATCCGGAGACATGCGCACTAACCACGAGACCACAGCGCTCCCTGCTTTATTTACTTTCGCGTTATTTATCAGGCTTTCAAAAGGTACTTCTCCTTATATAGATTATATAAATCTGGACTAACTCGTACTTTACACTAATTTTCTTTCAAACGTATTTAATTTACGGAGCGAAATATTGCACATGTTTCCATAATTTCTCCAACTTTCTTTGCGTCGTAATTTACACATTCTCTCTAACCTTTATTGCGCAATCAAGGCAGGCGTAATATTCTTGTCATTATGTAAAAGGCAAACTATTTTACGAAAGTGAGACGGAGAGTATATCGACTCAAATAAAAATTATCGCAGATATTGCTACAACACTTTTCTTCAAGTGTTGTACATCATGAATGTGGGAACCTACCATGGAATTCTCCTTGACCAATATAACACCGGTCAACATGATGAGAACATCCTTGAAACCATATCGAAAATTTTGCTTCCATAATTTTCTTAAACTATATTATATAACAACAACGTGGATACATGCAAGTTGGTAACACTTGATGACGAAATATTTATTTGATTGCTGCGAACAGTGAAGACTGAAATAATTTAACTCGTTTATTTAGTTATCTATTTATTTATTTTTCCGAGGAGGCTTGCAGCTTCAACTTTTAAACGCGATATTCTCGCAGCTTTTTACACAACAAGTTTCTTATTTTTAATTCTAAAGGGAGTGTATTTTGGTCACAAAGAAAAGAGCATTGGCTGATATATACAGAGATATTGAAAGTTCCACCATAAGTTGTGAAGTCGCTAAACAACAACAACAACAAAAACCATGTGAAAGGAGAATTGATCAACATGACACGGGCGTAGGACAAAGAAAAAATCTGAGTTCCCGACAGGAATCAAACCCATGACCTCCCGAGCACCGGGCGGGCGATCTATCCACT